GATGGTTGTCTGGTTGTGTGAGGTGTTGGTCACTTTGCCCCATTACCACTTCGCCCCATTGATTATCGTTCATTCTGTTCTTCAGTAACAGAAGCATAGGCCTAGATGCAACAAGTAAAAACATCAATGTTTGAGTACCCAAATAAAGATCGGATAATCCAACTTTCAAAGGCCTAAACAACGATTCTGATTTCCCGACCAAATTTTTTGTGTTTCGTTGTCGCTGTGGTAAAAACACAAGCGCAAAGCGCCGCTTCCCGCAAAGCTGCACCCGTGTAAGAGAATGCATGATGGAGTCTGGCGACCAGTCTATTCATGCTGCGGCGACCATTCATTTATGTGATCTGTCACGCATCGAGAAAAAAATCAATGTTTGCAAGATTGCTTCACGTTAATTCTTAGTATCTTGTCTATGTGCGTATTTATTTATTTCATTAGTTTAATTTTAGATTGTTTTGCTCGTACTTGGACATGTTGAAGTGAGCATGTTTCCACAAAATTTCTTGTGTGCCACAAATTTCTAACTCGAGTTAGACAAAAGACAACAAAGTCAAATCATGCTATTTTGTTTCTCGTGACTCAGGTATATTGGATTCATCAAAACAAATCTTCATCCAGGTCACAGCTCTTCGGGGTGGTTGTGTATGCTGCTGTTTAACCCCAAAATTTCCCTCAAAAACCAAAAGCCCTGTTCTCTTTTCTTTCTGATATGAAAGAGGACATCACAAACAACTTGTTAAACAAGTTTTGAAAAAGTGTTCCCTTACTATAGGAACAGGGTGCTAAAGGTAATGAACACTATAGTATGTGCAAATGATCAATGAAAAAATTAAATTAAAAAAAAATCCTGCTGACCATGGAGGAAGGAACTGAGAAATGGGCTGACCACTTAGCAGATCTGGACCAAGTGGACTGTCTGCACATTTATTGAAATTCTGCTTGAAGTTAAAGCCCCTTATAGTCGTGTCATGTGCAGTTAAGGTCTCGTGGAAGACTGTTCCAAACTCCGATGCTATCAGGAAAAAAATGAAATTCAGTAGTTCGGGTCCTGGTGAACAGGTGAAGGGTACTCAGTATCTGAGATTGTGACCTCTAAAGGCAAATGCAGGCAAAAGATGGATACATGTACGTTGGACATCAACCAGAATATTGACGGAACATTGATTATTGACTGTGTGTTTTTCATGTTATTGTCGTAGGATAACACATGTCAACTATGGAGAGGCTGTAGCCCTAGCCGCGAGTCAGTGGCTTTATAGGTGTCTACCATGCCTACGTTGGACAAATTTGAACTTCTTTGAGTGTGTACAAATCACTCAAGTGTAGGTCCTGTGCAGACGGTCACCTTGTCCAGCATACAAAATTTGCCATGAAACATGTTTTTAAGTCCACCATGTTGAAATCCCTGCATGTTTCCATGACATGGTGTGAAGGTTTTAACAGGGCACCTGCCTCAACCTTATGTACCTTACAATATTTTTCAATACAAGTATTTGTATGGTGTTGGCAGGTCACACCTGAGTAGGATTTGGTAAGATGGGCTACGATGTTGATCGCTTTGTTGGCGCTGTGAATGAGGGCCTTCTGTGCTGTATCTGCCGAGATGTTCTTGAGGACCCACTGCAGGCCCCATGCGAGCATGCCTACTGTGCCTCCTGCATTCATGGTTGGCTGGTTCATGAGGAGATTTGCCCTGAGGACCGTCAGCCACTGATCCAGGACCAGCTCCGGCCCATCTTCCGCTACATGCGAAATGACCTGAACCAGCTAACGCTGCACTGTAGTAACCGGGCGGCAGGATGCCTTGAGGCAGTCAGCCTAGAGGGCCTGGCCCGACATGAGGCCGGCTGCGGGTACGGTCGGATCAACTGCCCCAACGCCAGCTGCCGGATGGAGCTGGAGAGGCGCCAGCTGGACGCCCACCTGCAAGTGTGCGAGCACCGCACCCGCGTCTGCCCGCGCGGCTGCGGGCTGACCGTCCTCAATTCAGAGGCAGACTCGCACAACTGCGTGGCCGAGCTGCGAACAGAGATGGAGCTGCTGCGCTCGGAGATGATTGGACGGAGTGAGGACCAGAAGCACGAGATGAAGCTGAGGCTGGACTCGCAGCGGACACACATGGTGGACAAAGTCAGCGAGATGCAGCAGCAGATAGATGAACTGAAAAGTAAGCAAGTAATGATCATTGTAGGCAGTAATCATGCTTTCCAAACAGCCATCTTCCTGTGGTTGCCTGATCGCACAAAAATCAATGCAATTGAAATCAATCCGTCTGCCCTAATGTAAGCACCCTCCCCCAGCAATGTAGAGATAGGTGGTGGGAATTGTTTCATCTAAGCACAAAAGCAGAGACCATACATTCTACTCAGCATGTTACCATGCCAAATATGCTTAAACCTGTGCACTCACGTGATCATATGATGCAAGATATGGGGCGGAGAGAACCCACTGCCTTTGTGTTTGTCATTGTTTGATCTGAATCTCTTGAATTCTTTACAGACTTCTAGGGGGGATGTGTTAGGTAACAATAGTCTAGAGTGTGTACAGGGATCGGACATGTGGGGGGGTACCCATCGGCCCCATATCGTGCACGGTATCCACGCGATGACTTTGCTTCAGAAGACCACTGTTGCTGTATGCACAGCATGTCGTCTTTAGTTTCACTTGGAGCTGATATCCTTGCACTTTGTCTTTGTAATGTTGTATGCCCAGTGACATTCTGTACTGACAAGCTTGGTCTCATTCTGGCTTTCAAAAGCAAACAGGAAATTTGAAGAACTAACTTTCCACAAGCTAGATATCTTTTCGGGGAGACTTGCTAATATTTCTTTAATATGGAGTTTTTGAGGGGTGGGCAAGGTTGTACTCAGCATTTTAAAGGTACATGTAACTGGCGCACGATGATTCGTGAGGCAGTGGTTTGAAAGTACAGGTGCTGAAACAGTTTTCTGGTTTGGTTTATTTTCCTGCCACCACAGGGCAAGTGGACCACTTGCAGCACGACGTCCGCCTGCTGAGTGCCTTGGAGAGGAAGAGGGGGCAGGACATGGAGCGCTTAGAGCTGGAGAAGAAGGAGCTCTTGGAGGTCTTGAAGGCACTCAAGGAGGAGCACGAACTGGCCAAAGCCAACACCTGCAGGATTACGGCCCTCTAGGCAGATGTGGGCGCATGTCTTGGAGTGTTCCTCGCCTGCATGACCAGTTTGCAAACTTGTGTCATCATTCCAGCATGTCTAGCCTCAGTGGATCCCAACACTTGTGTTCTCAAGCAGGCTACTGTACGACAACAGCTTGGCAAAGTTTGACACTGGATAAGGCCAAAAAAGGAGTCTCCAGTTTCTGGTCACTGTGCGCTTTGCCGTAGACCTGCGTGTCGGCAAAAGAAAGAATTTTTTTATTTTGCATAAAACGATTTCCCAAAGGTGTCAAACTTAAATGATCGGCTGGAATTCTGCGACCGCGTAATTTTAACGTGTTTTTGATGGGTGGGGTGGAGTAATATGTATGGTGAAGGAATCCCCGTAGGCCTCCATACATTTCAGTTGGGCACTCTTATCAGATGACGTCATTTGTGTATCTTTACATGAAGGTTGTGCCCGAATCACTTGGCTGCGGCTTAATATTATGCATGATTCTATGGGAACTGGCTGTGGATGCAGCCAAATACTCGGTGTGTAATTCCGGCCGATTCGGACCAGACAAACGAAGTGGTCTTACATCCTGTTTACGTATACAAATTGAAAAGACTTTTAAGCAACAAAGCGTGAGGGCCCAGTGAGGCAGTGGCAGTACATACGCATGCAGTATTTTTGCTTTAAAACATTGACTGAGTCTGTCAGCCTCACTCACATTGACCGAGTCAGTCAACATCACTCACATTGACCGAGTCAGTCAACATCACTCACATTACAGGAAACCAGTGCCACATTCTCTATACTCAAATTTTCCAAGATTTAATTAACGCCCCTCCACTACATTGTGCCTTCCTTATTTTTGTAAATCTTCCAGAGCATCGTGGAGGATTTTGAAAGGTCTTAGAGGATTAATGTTTTGAATAAGGTATCACACTTAAGACAATAATTTATTACTTGTAGTTAATAATCAGGTGCTAAACTAATGCCACATTAATTCTATGTATTGTTAATTGTTAATCAGTGTCCATGTAGATGTCATACTCCGTCCATGCATTGCTGCCATTTCTTATTTCTGTGTATTCCAATTCTTGTTGTGTTTAATTTTTACTCACATTTTTTAAAGGTAGAGTTTTTTTACTCACACATTTTTATGTATGCGTTTTCATTTTATTTCACATCTGAAAATGGCTGTATGATATGTATTCAAACTGTTGGAGAATGTTCATTTTTTTAATGTACACTGTATGTATATGATATGCAAGTACTCTTGACGTCAATTATGCAGAAGTTTACAGGTGTTCAGACTAGTATTTAAACCATTGACTTTTAGTGGGTTACAAATTAACTTTTAGTTTATTCTGAATTGAAAATAATAAACTATACTTGCTTCCACTTTCCAGAGTTGTTAGTTTATGACAATCAATTCTGGTTTTGATTAGTGGAGATTTTATCAGCCCTCAAGTACAAAGATGTTTTACAATTAAGCCCTTGATTTGTTTTTTCAAGCTGAAATTTTAATCAGTGAATTTTTGTGGAGTTTGCAAAATGAACCGTAATCAAATAACCCTTGTGATGCACTGCTTTCTTTAGTATAGTCTGTCATCTTAGGATCATGGCTCAGTCTTCTTCACATCTTGTAAACATGGAGCATACAAGTACAAGAACATGGATTAGAGTATATCACCTCCTTTCCAGTTTGTGAACAAAATCATCCAAAACAGATGAAACCACTGCTTGTAATGCATTCTTACTATTGTCAATTACACCTCTATAACTTATTTGATGAGCTATATTTGATAAAATATTTTTAAATTTTATATCCTGTGTAGTTTTTAACACTTTTGTCTGTGCGCACATAAACACCCATACCAACACGTAGTGCGAAACGTAGGTCTACATGTATATGTACAATGTATGTAGGTGCTGAGAGACATCTGTATACATTTGACATTTGACTGGGCCCAACAAAATGTGCCAAGTCCCACAGCAGTTGGTATTTGCTGAAGGAGTTTGATTAACTTAAACAGGCGTGTACATGCTGTCCACCTGTTACCTAGGGGACGATTTATTGCACCAGTCTACAGCCAGGCGCAGTAGGGGAGCTGTGAAGGCAAGTCAGGGTTCATAACCCCTGCCTAGTGTTGGTATTGTGTCTGCAGTTGTGTGTGGAGTGTTTGTCTGGAGTGCTTATCATTTGCACGCATTTAGTAGTGATAGGAGTGTCACTGTGATCTATTGATTTGGTGGCACTTTGAGAAGAGAAGTCAAGGATTAGACACAAGCCATGTGCTTCATAACATTCCAACCTCCCTACATCTATTGCTTCCAGTTACAAAAAAATTGGCAGATGTCCATATTATTTATACAAAGACAGATATGGGTTTTATGTTTATACATGTACATTGCAGTTTGTACTATTTATGTATTTGCAATTTAGCATAGTGGTTGACTTCTGCTCATAAAATGTCACTAGTTTTGAAAAGATTTAGTATTTATTCCATGAGCACTTTTAACCACGTAAGAATCAGGTGAATTAGACAGGCATGGCACAGGAAAGGAAATAGTATGTTTTTCTTTTTCGAAATGGTAAGCATATGAAATAAAAAAAAGCTAGGCAGTCAGCCAATTGGAGGCAAAGTTGGACTGCTGGTTATAGTTTGAATGAAGATATTGGGGACAAAGACCTTGCTATGATTGTTGGCAAATACATGAACTTACATGTACATATGTACATATAACTAAGACTTGTGGAAGTCTCCTAAACCAAAATATGACTAAATATGTTATACATGTATGTTATGAAATATGTCATGGCTACGTGATCTTCAGACACCTTTGCTCCCCAGAGGTATATCTGAATTCCAGATACATGTAGATCGACAGGTGTGAAGGCCACGGCTGCCAATTTCAGAGATGTTTGTCATAACTGCATGCACCAGTATTGGAATGTTGTTCAACGCAGTCTGGCCAGTACCAAATTTCCAGTCTTAGTATTAAAATGTTTCACCTTATAATGGCCGGGTAAATGGAATCGCATGGTATTGTTCCTTATTTATGTATTCACACCGCACAGTACTTTCTAGTTTTAGCAAAGTTCACAAGGATATCCTACGTTGTTTTAGTGTGCATTTTATGCTATCATAAACAGAGCTTTTGCAGTTCAATTTTAAAAATCCTATGGCTGAAGAGTAGTTAGAATAAGATGAATATTTCTGTCAGTAACATTGCTGTTTGTATTTATATTAACATTCCGTCCATGAAGATATTATGTTGCAAGCATATGAATTTTAATAACGGATAGACAGTATTTCTCAAACTACAAATACTAAAATCAGACCGATCCCTTGATGGCCTTTTCAGACGTTTTCAGTGAGGAGGAAAGCATACATGTGTGTACTTTAACATTTGTAACCAACTCCCAAGCCATTTGCTTCACTGTGTAATATATGGCTGTTATAGAAACTGAACAATGCACATGTACAGGTTTGTGTTGGTGCTTCAGGTTGCAGAAAGCTATGAACAAGCTAGATCAAAGCTCTCCCCAACTCTGAAAATTCAGAGAGAGCCACTGAAACGAGTGTGTGTGTGCTGGAATGTTGGGGATTATAGTTATATAGTTATAGTATATGCAGCACACCTGAAGTGATGCAGGTGGCCCCCTGACCTTCCTATAGAAGCCCTGTTGGATGTACTTGTATTGGAAGCCCCACTGGATACCAAGCCTCATGGGCAACTTATGAAAAGAATATCACCATGTGAAACTCAGTCCACTGCTGAGAGGACAAGTGCTGTACATTGCAGTATTTGAGTATCATTCTTCTTTTCTTTAGCCGTCACAACTGGTCAACTGCAGCTCATGAAGTTTACCTCAATGCACATTTTCAAACTGCACTCTCTGGGCAAGGGTCCGTCATTTTGGCCCCTTGGTTAAAGTAGAAAAAGGAAGCAACACCAAGGACACGTTCTTCAACACTGCTGGTCTGTTTATTGAACATCAGTGCATTCATATTTTCTGTCTACTCCCTGTATGTGTCAAATCTCATGAAAGCGCATTAACAGTTCGTAGTAAACATGGTGACAGTTTATTTTATAGTTTTCCAGTACGCTGTTAGTCCACATATTGTTTACTTTCATCATTTTTTGGTCAGTTCAAGTGGCAGCCAGTGACAAGCAAGTATAATACAGCTCAGTTGGTGACTCCTTGCCGAATTTATCAAATGAACTCAAATGACATGTTGCACTCCTTGTGTCATAAACAAAAGTAAACAACAAATGCCGATTTCTGATTTGTTTATTGTTGTCCTTAGGTGTTTAGGAAGTGTGGCCAATTGCCCTGGATTAAATGAAACAGTTGGTGTCGAAAAAAATGACTGGATCCCACAAACTGAGTCTTATTTTGTTTCCATTTCAACCGGATGTCTCCCTCAGTCTGACATGCTCATGAATACCGACATTAGGTGATCAAAAGCAATGACACCTGATTTCCACAGTGAGAGACATGGCAAAATACTCATTACGCAGAAGCACTTCTTCCCACTTGTGACTCGTTTCGCTGGACTGAGTCACCAATGTGGAAAAACTAATTGCTTGAGATAAGAAGTTCTGGCATTCCTGTCAAAGACAGCTGAGGTCTGCGCGTGGTCTGTAGAAACTTTGCAACCGGCCTCCTATGTCACCTGGGTGAGAAAACTAGCATGGCCCATCCAGATGACTTCAGGAAAACACATTATTTCTCAGTAGGAACAGTGAGTGTTCGGTGTTACAACAGCATTTTAACTTACAAGATGCTCCCTTACAGCCATGTGATCTGGCAAGTCAGAGTAACCTTTTTGTAACACTGACATCGCAACTCACAGTTTTCCACTGGCGAAACAGTCCTTCCACTTCGACAAAACACGTCAGGTGTGGTACATGTATGTCTAACGAGACAAATTATCCAGTTCCAGCAGTTTCAAGCAGAGCTCATATAATGCACACCTTCTCTTCATGTACGTTGCTCACGTATTCAGATGTCCGACAAAAAAAGCATGCCACAGGAGTACGTCAGTTGGTCTAGTTTCCGATGTCATGGCGTGGGTACACATGATACACTGGTACAGGTGTACACACTCTTCAACCCCTGCTGTCCGATGGGACAGTAACACTTCCATGTGAATGCTGAAATGTGTTTGGTGTGTGCAGTGAAGGTGTGGTGAAGCAAGCGGTTTGTACTACAGGCATTTCTAATTTCACAGATGTCTGCATTCGATGCTTTCTATCTCGTGAAGGATCGACTGTGTCTTCCTTGGTTTTCCCGGGCCCCCATTCGACCCCCACGCCCTGTTTTTGGTGTCTGTTGAAACCTGGAAAATCGGTAAGAAAAGAGACAAAACTGAGTTGAGAAAAAATACTGAAACTGCCGGTCCCCTTGCAGTCCCTTATCTCGGATTGTAGTTGGGCGTTTTCAGATCAAGATAGGCTTAGCAGATTACAGAGATATGTGTAATAGCACGTTGGTTTCCATGGTTAAGATAGTACTCAATCCTTAGTTTGAAAAGTAGCCACAAACACTAAAAATTTCCAGTCAAAAGTCACAAAGATGCAAACAGCAACCAGCTACAAGAGGAAACACCTCTTTGAATGTCAGGCACCTTCCATGTATCATAAAACACGGAAAATGTTTGCCTATTTAAAACATTCTCTCTCTCTAAGTGGCTCCTTTGAAAAATGAATTTCCCACTCCATGAGAAAAGTAGCCATCCACAAATCGAGAGGTCAAAGGTCACTCACCTGGAGTACTGATCCTTGCTGCCCTGGCCAGACCATCCGCCACCGCCACCACTGCCCCCACCCCTGCCACGCCCCCCTCCAGCACTGCCCGGTCGGAAGCCCTGGCCGGGCCGCCTCATGTTGGCTCCGCCCCTCTGCTGCTGACCGCCGCTCCCTCTCAGGCTGCCCCGCGGCTCGCCCCGCTGCATGTAGGATCCCTCCCGGTTGCGGTTGTCTCCAGCCGCTCGGCCGTAGGGCTGCTGGCCCGAGGCGGGCCCACGACCTTCCTGCCTGTTGTCCATTCTATTGTCAGGTCTGTGCAGTTTGCATCAAAAATATGGCAAACATGTACGAGCGACACAGAAAGTGTTAACAATGAAAAATGACACCTTCCCCTTATCACTTTTTTAACTTGTCGAAAAGCATGGTTATAACGTGTCACAACACTCATGCACCTGTCACATGCATTAATTACCCCTTACAAAGCACTTGAAGATTTTTGAGTAAGGCCAGTCAGAGTATGAACATGATGCATGTATCTTGGCAAGTCTTTTTTTAAATAGCTCCTCAGAACTGATAACAGAGGCCAAGTTCAATCAATGACCATTTGTCAACCATGATCGATTGTGCCCAGGAACCTGTGCATAAAATATGTGCTGGGTAACAGGAAATACTGACCAGTGGTTGACCAGTGGTTGACGACTGGTCGCTGAACAAATTTGACCCATAGTGATTGGTGCTGCAGACACACAGATTCACACACTGCGCTCATACACGAGCATATTTGCCCCCAAAGTGAGTCGCTAGTCACCAAATGAGAGTGAAATGTCCTCAGGAGTCATCATGATCCTCTTTTCACAAAGTACATGTAATGTCTTTATTTGGTTGTTATTACAAGAGCTATATTCACAAATTACACTCCAAAAAAAGGATTTTATTTACGATATAATATGAAATGGGAAGTAGCCTGATAATTTTTAAATATAATCACAGCCTCCCTTTGAAAAATATATGTCATTCGGACAATGAAAGTGACGGTCCAGATCTTTGATGCAAAAGACCAGTGATTCACTGGTGTCCTTACCTTGACTGGTTCCCTTCCCATCGTCTCTGGCCAAAGTTCCTCTGTTGGCTATTTCCACTGGCGCCGCCGCTGCCGTAGCCGGGCCGCTGCTGTTGCCTGTTTCCCCACTGGCCCCCTCCGCCCCGCCCACCTCGCTGTGCACCACTCCCCATGTTGTTCCCACCTGACCCACAAAAAACGTTGCAAAGTAACATTACTCTTTAAGAGGGATTAACCACTTCGTGCCGGGGCATTTTTCAATGTTGAT